TTTGATATTAGACCTTTTATGTAGCTTTGTTTATAAACACCTTAGAAACGACAAAATCCAAACAACCAAGGCGACTTTGCAAGATTTCGAATGTCTCTTTATTAGTAGGATGCTCATACCAAGTTTCGTGTCTCTAGCATTCCCCATGTTAAAGAAATAAATTAAAATGTGAATTTCAATCCCCTATTTTAAGAGGCTATATCGCCTCAGGAGTGCAACTTTCATATAAGGTATTTTTACTTCAATCCTCTTATTTTTGGCTCTACATTCACAGGTACCATTTTTGCTACGTCATTTAAAAACACCGTGTATACAGGGTGGGCCATTAGTGTGAGAAAGTAAAATAACTCCCTTGTTACACGGAATCAAGAAACCTAAACTGCAAAATTAATTTGAAAAAATATTACATTTCTTAAATGGAACACCCTGTATATTTTTAAGCATATAGATTTCCGAGAAAATTCTATATATGGCAGTAAACACGGTTTATCATTTTAGTGCGGGGTTACCAAGTTATGTACAAAATTCTTTGAATTTTGGAAAAAATATGACCTCGAAGGAGTTGTATTAACTTTCAGCTACTAACACTTGGAATAAAATAATTAGACAGAGTTATAGGCAAATGTTAGACAAAGGCTCCTATATTAGCTAATATCGATATTTTATACAGGGCATTTTTATAATACGATCATTTTTAGAAAGTTTAAACTTGATTTTCTAAAATTTTTCAAATGGAATACCTCTTGTATTTTATTGTTTTATTTTATTCACATTTCGGTCCACTTCAACTTTTATTAAGCATATTCTATATCTAAAATTGTTACCTTTTAAGATATAGCAACATTTATGAAAAAACTTAATTTATATTATTTTATAGAATACCACAAATAAATATTAAATAACAAAATTAACTCAAAATTGAATGATAAATTATGAACTGACAAGTTGACCTAATGTGACAGTTCTTTCCAAAGCCTTTGATGCGACCGAAAATAATAAAAATTAGGTTTTTCCAGAAATGTTGCTATATCTTAAAAATTAACAACTTTAGGTGTAGAACATACTTAATAAAATTTGAAGTGGACTGATATGTGAATAAAATAGAACAATAAATTACAGGGTATTCCATTTGAAAAATGTTAGAAAATCAAGTTTGAACTTTCTAAAAAGGAATGAATTATAAAAAAATGCCCTGTATAAAATATCGATATTAGTTAATACAGGAGTCTTTGCCTAATATTTGTCTATAACTCTATCAAATATTTTTGCTCCAAATGTTATTTAGTAGTTGAAGTAATACAACTTTTCGAGGTTATGTTTTCTCCAAAATTCGAAGAATTTTCTACATAACTTGGTAACCCCGCACTAAAATGTTAAACTGTTTATATTGCCATATACAGAATTGTCTCAGAAATCCATATGTTTAAAAAATATAGGGTGTTAAAAAATGTAATATTTGGCGTGTCCCGTTTTTACTAATCGCCCTGTATGTTTCATATTAATTTTGACATTTAGGTTTATTGATTCTGTACAACTTTTATATAAACTTTTTTTCTGTATTATGAATAACAAGAGAGTTATTTTACTTTCTCGCACTTATGGCCCACCCTGTATATAGAATTTTCTTAAAACAAACTGGTAATCTATCAAGGAACCAGTATTCAAATAATTACGTAGAAAATTTAATTTTATAAAAAATAAAGATCATCTATCAGTTGATTCCTAAAAATATTTTATACACGTGTGCATCTGCACCTTTTCTGGAGATCGCTTCTTTGCCAGTGTCATAGAAAAATTAATTGTTAATATTTAATTTTCTATGGCCAGTGTAAACATAATGTACCTTTTTCTTCAGAATTACTTATGCAACCAACTAAACGATGTTCAGTTCAGTTGGTTGCATATACTAACTACACTTCCTATATTTTTAAAGAGTAATGGCAATACACAATAAACTATTCAAATAAACAAATAAATGATTAATATTTTATAAATATAGATGCATTTTTAGAGCTAAAACATAAAGTGTCTCCCCTTTTTATGTTTTATTCAATCAATCTAAATGTATCCAACTTTACTAAATTTCAATGATACAAACTAATGAACTTATAAAAAGGTCTTAATTAGTCTTAGCTTAGACGTAACTTTACCAAAATCTTTAAGTTCTAATCTTAGTCTTAATCCTAATATTTTTCTTACGCTTATAAAAAATTCGATCTTGATTAATCTTAAAAACTGACCGCTCAATGTCCAATGATGGACTTCTGACCATGCTTACCTGTTGTGATAGTCATAACGACTGGTTGTGAGTGAAGTACCGCCCTCTGAAAGTTATTAGGAGTATATCGAACTACATTAAGTTTGTATCATAGATTACAGAGAGTTGTTTGTATTGCTGTTGCCGGTCAATCGTATGAAACTTCTACCTGTTTTGTCAAATCGAACAATTATTTCATTGACATTTTTTAATTTCTCATAATTATTTTTGAGTTCTTGTGGTGCGAAGATGAAAAAACTATTGTCTCCTAAGAAATGCCATGCGAAAAGCCAGCGTTACACACGATTTAAGTGAGTGAAATTATAATTTTACGTCCTTTGATTTGATTTGAAGACATTTTACTTTTTTGCACTGAGCCATAAATACCATTTTTTATTTTTTAGAAGCGATCCTCCGAAACGTATGGTAACCTCGACATGGAATACAAGAAACGATTCCTCGAACATCAGTTCGATTTTGCAACCAGAAAATTACGAGCAATCTCCCAAACAACCGCCTGACAAGAGTGTCTACAAAAAACACTTCCTAGGCGAGAATTCTTGCTACTGTTTAGAGAAAAAAATTAGGCCAAAGCTCATGTCGAGGCCAAGGACTTGTTTATCCTTGGACGAATTAAAAAAGCAGTACGAGGGAAGCGAATTGTTGCGAAGGCCTCTGGAAGAAAATTACACTTTTGAGGAATGTCGTTGTAAAGGTACGTTTATATGATAGTTTATATAATTTCACCAGTTTTAATTAACAGGTGTCGCCGATAATCACGCTAGTTCCAACTTGACTTTACTGAAGGGATATCAAGAAGAACTGGAGAAGTTATGTAATTGTTTAAAATATACAGATTCAAGGAAAGACTACCACACGTTTAGGCAGAGACAGAACGAGGACCATTTGAAGGAATTAGAAAAATATCATGAGTCAAAGGGTATCATAGAAGAGGCGGAAAAAGAGAAAAAAGAAAAAGAAGAAGAAGATCATAGAGATAAAGAAGAAGACGACTACTCATTGTGGACAATCATGGGTAATTTTTTAAATTACATTCAACAAGTGGTACATATATCTGCTTTCTAGGTACCAAACCCGACACAATTAAAACAGCCTCGACTTTCGACTCAGAAGATGAAGTTTCGACTGTCGAAGACGTGGCCACGTTCCGAAATGAACATTATTTCGAAACTCACAGTACTGGCGACCTAGGGAAGAAAGTCCCGAAGCATACTTGCGTCCACCAATTTAGATTGGACGACAGGCTCTTGCCAGAACCGCTAAACGTTGATCCTTACGGACGCAGCAGGTGCAGTATTTGCTCCAAACCCATGGAGGGCGACACCATGCAACTATCCAAGCCGTATTTCAGCGACAAACCAAGCACCTCGAGCTTGAGAAACCTTGCCAAGTGTTCGGAACTGGGACTAGTTCCCAGGAGTATATCTCTTGGAGGAAATACATCAAAAATAGAACTAAGGGTCGATACGAGCAATAAAGATAAGTTGGGAATGATTGTGGGGAAGCTTCGCAAGCCTCAGTACTTCAATACTTTTGCTCTGAGACAACAGAGAATGTCCTGTTGAGGCAAATGATTATATTTCTAATTTTATTTCAATTTTTTTATTAATTTTTAATATGTGTATGTATATCACATTTTTATTGTTTTAATAAAATCTATTTTTGCTAAAAAAAGATGTTCACTATAATCAAGAGGTTAATTATGGTGCACAAAGTCCACCGTTGTATGTTGCTGCTTTGCAAATGTATGATATTTAATGAGATTTAACATTTTATAATTTAGCAATGGTATAATTATTTCTTCATATTGAGTTAAAAATGAGATGATGCTGTCAGTTAGTTCGAGATTGAATATAATTCAATCTCGAAGGTTATTTAAAAAAATTGAAAATAAAATTTTTATTTTGACACCCTGTAACTCAGTTACTATCAACTTTTGTACTAACGTAAAACGTAAGTTTGGCCAGATCTCATTATTTATGACGTCATAAATCACTTGTTAATCTGTGTACAATTCATTATGGGACATCCTGTATAGATAACGTAGTGTATGCCTCGTGTTCACTAATAAAAATAGTTTCTAGTTAATCCACTGGGAGCACTGAAACGTTTAAACAAACTTAACTATACAGTGTAGTATCTTTTGTGCTTTGCTGTGGAGAAACTTGAAAAAACTGTTAAGCCTGTATCAGACTGCAATTTAGTTTCAGCGACAAAATTGCGGGGATAAAATTGCATGCTTATTATCACACAACGGGACAGAATTCCTGCAATTTGTTTAATTTGCAGTAGTGTTACCAACTGTGCATTGTTTAACATGTAAAATTTCTTGTATGTATCTTGTAAACAATTATTTTTTATTCAAGCAAAACATTGCAATGGATGAAAATTTAAAAGTAAATTGCTATATAGCTTTAGGAGTGGCTTCAACGGTGTTACTAACAACAACCATGATCAACAGCCAACAACAGCTAGGTTCGCCATTATTCCATGGCTAGAAATTGGCCTCAATGATTTGGGATCGAGGGGGATTATCCCTCTTTATCCTGCCTCATCTCGTGTAGGCCTGGACNAAAATAAAATTTTTATTTTGACACCCTGTAACTCAGTTACTATCAACTTTTGGACTAACGTAAGTTTGGCCAGATCTCATTATTTATTATGACGTTATAAATCACTTGTTAATCTGTGTACAATTCATTACGGAACACCCTGTGTAGATAACATAGTGTATGCCTTGTGTTCACTAATAACAATAGTTTCTAGTTCATCCACTGGGATCGCTGAAACGTTTAAACAAACTTAACTATACAGTGTAGTATATTTTGTGCTTTGCTGTGGAGAAACTTCAAAAAACTGTTACTTGTTACATTTAAATAGACCTTTTTTAGTAATGACGTCACATACGCCAAATAATAGGCAACCCCATAGTGCATATTGTCATGACGAATTTCTCAATATTTTTACTAGATCGATTTTCGATCGATATATGTACCTTGGACATAAGTGCTAAAAAATGGCTTCTTTATCATGACCTTAAATATTGTGATATTCTGACAATATTAGAAATATTTAAGAAGTTGCAAGCCCCAAGTAACAAACTAAAAGAATTATAGAATTTATATATTTATATTTATAGAACAGTATTGACTTTTATAGTAATTAATAAATTAAAATTATGTCAATGTTACTGAGCAAGCACATTAAAGATAATTTCATGTAAGCAAAGTAGCCTCGCAACAGGATATCATTCAAGGAAAGTTTGATTATGGTTATTAAGAGTACATCTATAATAATAAACCACATGAAGAAGAAAACACTCGATAAATACACTGACACAGTACAACACCAAGAAAAATAATAAAAATACTTTGTATGGAACTAGAAAATGCCAAGATTAAAGAAAACAAGAGAAAATACGCTAATGATGACGCCGTTAAAATATCAACAAGGTCTCACCTGCGTATGAGGCTATTCTTTCCGAGCATACGCATTAGGCATAACACGGCTAATGTTAAATTTTTACTTCATTTAAATAAATTTAGGAATATTCCTTTATATCGTGTTTTGTAAGTTTTAAGCACAATATAGTGTATATATTTTACGAAACAGGTGTTGGTTGTTTTTAAATATGTACTTCCAAATCCTTGTAAAAATAAATTAATCTGAAGCTTTTCATTTTTATAGCATCTATGTAAACAGTATAAAACGTCAGATTTGGTCTGTACAATTTCAACTATGACAATTTGTTGCGGGTTGCCTAAATATCGAATATAGATAAATATGTATAGAATAAGTTTAAAGCTTTTATTAACTTGAATGATTTCGACCGCCATTTTGATAAAAACCGACAAATTTAAATTTATACAAATTGATACAAATGCAAGGAAATAGATCGAGTTTAAAATGGGACTTAGGAAATAGACAGTACAGATTTAAAGTGACTGTTTTGTAAAACGATCTGATAAGAAATTTTAATGTTTTCTAATTTTTCTCTTAAATTAACATAACTCGGTACATTTCTTTCCGAGTAGGTAGAAACGTATTAAATAATCATAATTTATTTTAAAGTAAGAACTGAAGAAGTTGTAAAACGACCCCACAAAAGAAAATATGATCACATTTGCTTAAAGGTTAGGTAAATACAATTACTTCGATTACTATGTCGAAAACTGGCATGTGTACATTTACAATTCATTTGTAGTAGACATAGAATTTTAGAATTAATAAAGTGTCTAGATATTGATAATGACAAAATAACTCGATCAACTGCCATTTTGGGGCAAAAGTCCTATTGCCAACCATGAGATATAAGTTTGGAGTTTGAATACATTGTTACATACCTAATTAATTAATTTTTACATACTTTGAACAATTTTTTACGTAATACATCAATATTTCCCCACAATTAAATTTTAACAGTCAAACCGTCATTTTGCTGTAAAGAAGAACATTAATTCTGATATTTGGTTAATTTAGGGACTTTAATTTTGAAAAGAATTTAACGCCACCTAGCGGTCAAAGAAAGCATCTATAAATTGAAGTAAATTGCAACTTAACGTAACAAATCTGTGCCAGAGCATGTAGCTGTGTCTATGCCTTATCTATGCAGTATATATCAAACTGGCTGCCATCAAGTTCAAGTAGTTCTAAAAATGTTCATGTGCATATTAAGTTTATTTATGGATTAAACGAGATCCACAGTATTTTCAACGTATTTGCATTTTTCCAGTCCGTGCACACTGAGTATATATTCGTTATGTAGGTACTATCACTTAGAATAACAAAGGAAGAAAATATTCCTGGTGAGCACTTAATTCAAAAGTACAAAATAACAAATAAGTCGAATTCCTGTCAGTTATCTGTGCATAAATGTAATTTTATGCAACCAGTCGTACCGCATTCTGCAAAGGGCTATTAAAAACCATTATTTATACATTTTCTCTAATCACGTAAACACTCTTATTTGTTTTTATTGCTTTTTACCACTTACATTTATAGTTTAATTGCCGGGAACCACTGATTTACGCGATAAATATTTGGATGAAGGGAAGGCATATATTTTTATTGGTTTTGTTGAAATCAAACTTTCATTTATTTTTGTAAGGATCGCGGGTAATTTCGTATCTTGAAACGAACTATAAATACGTTTCCGATAACCTTTGATCGAATGATTACTAATTAAAGATTTCTTTGTCATGAATGTCTTTAATATACTATACTTCCGTTTGATACAATTTTTTTACCGCAAACCAAGTGAAACAAAGCTGAAACTTCCACACCTTAAAAATGATTAATTATAAGCAAAAGTATTTTCGATAAACATTTTTTAAAGTGGAATGCCTCTGTGAAATGTCAGCAATCATAAACACGGTACGTGTATAAATACCTATCATAAATATTTGCCTGAAATTCTACAGAAATCAGTTCATCAAATTCCGCCGACCTTTATTAACGAAATATAAACGGTGCTCGGTACATTATCCGTGTATTTTTATTGCAAGGAGCTACTGCATCCAGAACTATAACACGTTAACGAAAATAACTTGATTTCATGTAAAAATCCAGATACTAGATCAAAGTTAGATCTACAAAATCGAGAAACGCCCCATCTAGCGGTGTACATTAGAAATTATTGGACTTTGTACTCGTATGCATTCATTTTCATGCACTACGCATACAAGAGAATTATTTTACCGGTTACATTGTGAGACCCTGTACTACTACTATGAAACCAATTTCTCTTACGGTTTAGATCCGTCACTAAAGCCTGTAAAATAATTGCAGGTAACTTAACGCGAATTATTAAATTGCCCGGTGATGTTTTGGAAACTGTGAGTTTCCCAACATGTGCCTAAATATAACGCGGTTTAAAACCAATAAACCAAGCACAGGTAAATTAAAATTTAATATAAATGTTAATATTAATATCTGATTTACTCGCTCGAGACGTGAAATGTTTGTTATAATCGGTGGCTATTAGATTTTGATAGGTATCCGCATGCTTGAGAAAACGATGCATAAAATCCTAGACGTAGCGCAGGACCCAGTAAACATGAAACATGTACGGAACATCTTAATATTGTTTCCATAAAGACAACACATTTCTAAAACATTTAAACAATTATGGAACAAATCTGTTATTAATTAACAGTAATTGAATTATATTTTCGTTATTCATTGAATATATTTCCTGTGGAGTATAACAGAACCATACAGAACTAAAAGTAGAACCAGAACCACAAATCTAAAAGATCCCATAAAATATTTTCACTCACAATGACTTCCCTAGAATGTTTATTTATTTATATTATCTTGTAATGTAATTTAAAAGTACCGCCATTTTGTTAGTTTATTGTGCCGTCGTTATGGAGAGCGAGAGCGCTACTATAGTCGCGCGCCCTTATTCCATGGCTAGAAATTGGCCTTGATGATTTGGGATCGAGGGGGATTATCCCTCTTTATCCTGCCTCATCTCGTATAGGCCTGGACAGCTTTCGTAGGTGGGCCCCATCCGTCGTCTACCCCGACCGCAAATGCGGCCGGTGTAGGCGCTTTGTGGGACCTCCTTTTGTCCTGGCTGGGCCCCGCCGGCTAGGGCCCTTTCTTCTGGCGCTCTTCTTGCTTCGCCGGCTCGTCTGTGTAAACCCCGGGGGTGGTGTCATGTTTATAGTTGGGTAGGGTAGTGCGGCTATGCAGCCTGGGATGCGCTTTGCTAAGGTGGCCCTTAGGCTAGCGCGGGAGGGGAGAGGTAAGGAGGGTATGGGGAGGTGTGTATGTGTGTGTGAAACAGAAAAGGTTAGCGGGCAGGGGGGGGGTGTCGTTGGGGTGGTCACCCAGGTAGCCCTAAGTAGACTTTGATTAACTCTACGTTGTCATAATAGACTCTTTTAGTGTGACATCGTCACATATTTAGGCAACCCGCAACAATTGTCATAGTTGAAATTGTACAGACCGAATCTGACCATTGTGTACTATTTACACAGATACTATAAAAATGAACAACTTCAAATTACTTTATTTTTACAAGGATTTAGAAGTATTTAAGAACAATCAACACGTGTTTGGTAAAATAGATACACTAATGTGCTTAAAACTTATAAAAAACGATATAAAAGAATATTCCTAAATTTAAATAACGTAAAAATTTAACATTAGCCGTATTATTCCTAATGCGCATGCTCGGAAAGAATAGCCTCATACGCAGGTGAGATCTAGTTGATATGTCATCGCTGTTGTCATTGGCGTATTTTCTCATCTTTTGTTTAATCTTGGCATTTTCTAGTTCTACTAAGTATCTTTATTGTTTTTCTTGGTGTTGTACTGTGTCAGAGTGTTTATCGAGTGTTTTTTTTCTTCAAGTGGTTTATTATACACTTTCTCTTAACCAATACCAAACATTTCTTGAATGATATCCTGCTGCGAGGCTACTTCGCTTACATGAAATTATCTTTAATGCACATGCTCAGTAACATTGACATAATTTTAATTTATTAACTACTACTATAAAAGTCAATAAATTTAAATATATAAATTCTACAATTCTTTTAGTTTGTCAATTGGGGTTTGAAACTTCTTAAATATTTCTAATATTGCCAGAATATCGCGGTATTTAAGGTCATGACAAAGAAGACATTTTATTGGTACTTATGTCCAAAGTATGTAGGGTCGCAAATCGATCTAGTAAAAATATTGGGAAATCCTTCATGACAATGTGCGCTATGGGGGTTGCCTATTATTTGGCGTATGTGACGTCACTACTAAAAAGGTCTATAAACAATATTTTCCTGAAGGAACATACCTATTAGGGGTTAAAAGTTTATTGCTAACATTTTATTTATTGCTGCAAGACTATTTTGTTACGGTAGCTGTAGTATAATTTTTACCCTAGCAAATGTTTTTATCGCTGTTCTTAGGTCGCTATCCTAGGATGACCAGTTTTATGACAACAAAGCAACTATCTTATTTTTTACTTCAAGTAAGTGACTTTTTAGATACTAATAAGTGATTTTATTGCCACAACTATGTGCACACAGTTAGATTTAACTAACTTAATTTAGATTTATTCTTCATATCTAAAAAGTTACTAGTCAAAAATACATATATAACTGGACACTCTTACCATCCCTTTTACTTCTAACTTTTTAAATATAAAGCAAAAATTAATGATTTTCCTTCACATAATGTATAAAACACACAGTCAAATCATTATTTGTTTGAAAGACGGACAGGGCATTATTCCTGTTGCGGTGTTGGCCACAAAATGGCTAAGTGTCATAGAGCCCTCGCGTCTGCGTGTCAACTATGATTACGCGCTAAATGTCTAGCTACTGTTATACAATTTTTACTTCGTCATAGGTAAATTATTTTTAAAAGTTAAAAGGTAGGCCTTAACTGAAGTCAATCACCTAGAGCAATTAATTGTCCACTTATCTATAGTGTCAAAAATACCAGAGAAAATGTACCTATTCACTGTAAGAAGCTACCCTCTTGTTCTAAGTAAAGCATCGACTTGAGGTAGTAAAATCGTGTTAGCCAAATAAATGTTACTACTTGGTATAATATTCATTGGTATAATCGTTTTTAACTAATGATATTGTGGGAAACAACTACTCTGCCGGCTACAGCTCCGTCTAGCATTGAATTACACTCTCAATAACTGCGTAAATAGTTAAGTTCATTCGTCAGCAGAGTCACCAAATATATAACGGTTCTGAACTTATTAGTTCTCACTAGTATGCCGTGGCATAATAATTTTCTTCTGATTATGTATTTATTAATTTGGCAATGTCAATAGAGACACGTTTATCAAAAGTCTTTTGGTAACAACATGTTTAATAGTTTACTTAAAAAAACAAATCTGGCAACACCGTAGATTTGACATCTTGACGTCATTTTAATTTTATTCTCTTAATAAAAATAATTACTCTGTCGACTTATTTGCGCACATTTATTTCCTAATTAATGTTTTCCCGTAAAACAAAGATTTTTATGTCAACAGTCGGTCTTATCAATGTATTGTACCCAGAAATCCACTAGAGGACCTCGTATTTGCAATAATCAGATAAGGTTTATTTATATATGAAATCGTAAAATTTTTTTTCTGATAACAGTAGAAGGTTTAGTCATAAATCTGAGATTTATTCGATTATGGATTATTTTAGATAGCGGTTAATAATAAGACACCTCCCTGGAAAAAACAATTAAAAAGTTCATCATCATCTGCTGTGGTCAGAGGTATGTCTGTTTTGTTTAAAAAAATATGTGTATTAAAGCAAATATTTACGTCACGTATTAAAGTAGCAAATATCAAGCTTTAATTAAATACATTATATCTATTTTAAAACGAAATAACACACTGAGCAATGTTTGTATCCTATACGATTTATTTTAGGGTAAATATATTTCTTTGTAGTTTAATTTGAAAAATGTTGAATATGCAGTTTTTATTTGTTCGCTGTGTTAAGTTCATATCATAATTTTAGGAGATTATTCATTGAATCATTCAAGATTAATAAACCTTATTAGATGTAAAAACTGACACACAAAGTGTCGACATCACAAAAAACATCACATTTATTGCAATAAGGGATGGATTTAATTGAGAAACCCCCATTTATTGCTGAAATTTTGGATGCAGGAAGTCAGGTTGATGTCGTGTATACCGATTTTTGTAAATCTTTCTATCGGCTTTATTCAAATTGGAGTCATATGGTATCTCCCCTGCTCTGTTATCGCTATTTAAATCTTATTTTAGCAATAGATACCAATTTATGCAGTATCGTCGCTTTCAATCATATAAAATCCATTAATGTTTAGGGGTTCCACAAGGGTCAATTCTGGGGCCACTTCTGTTTGTTATTTTTATTAATGACTTAACTGTACTGTACGTCGATGTCAACTATTTACTCTGTACGGACCACCTTAAGCTGTCCTTGGAAGTTAAATTTTCTACTGATTGTCGTAGATTGCAAGATAATTTTCACAGATTAAACAGTTGGTGTTCATGTAATAATCTTCCCCTGTAATGTAAGCAAATGTAGAATTATGTCTTACAATCGACGCAAAACTAATCTAGATTTTGATTATAAAATTGGTGAATCTTTTTTAAACAGAGTTGAGCAATTTACTGACCTTTGTGTTACATTTGATAATAGATTATCGTTTGACGAGCATATTGCTTTAGTAACCAAATCTACTTTTAAAAATTTGGGCTTTATTTTGCGTAATTCTTCCAGAATGTAAAGTTTCTAAATATACTGTATGCTGCATTTGTGCGTTGTAAACTAGAATATGCATCGGTTGTTTGGAATCCCATATATAGGGTATAGCAAAAGTACCGGAACGGCAGAATAATTCGGCGGGAGAGCATTTTAGAGAAAAATGTTATATACAAAAATTTCAGGATTTCTGCCTGGCTATCCGATGGTGACTTTGACCTTGAAGATCATTTCAAGGTCAACATTTTTCTCTAAAATGCTCTCCCGCCGAGTTATTGTGCCGTTCCTCTACTTTTGTTAGTTTGACCTTGTGGGGGCCCCAAGGTCAAATGGGATGGGTCACTCAAGGTCATATCTGAACGTAAAATTTTCAGCTCTTCATTTCTGGGATCAAAAGTATAGGGTTCCATTTGAACAATCACATTTGACCTTGAAATGATCTTCAAGGTTAAAGTCAAGGTCAATATCACCATCGGATAGCCATGAAGAAATCCTGAACCTTTTGTATTTAACATTTCTCTCTAAAATGCTCCCTCGCCGAGTTATTCTGCCGTTCCTGTACTTCTGCTATACCCTGTATAATCTTTATAATACTCAATTAGAGAAAGTACAACGCAGATTTTTAAAGATTGTTCATTTTATTAGTTATGGATTTTATCCTCCTCTTGGTACACCTCAAGAATTACTGCTTTCTTCTTTTAATTTTAATTGTCTCTGCCGTAGTCAAATTATGTTTTTAATTATATTCTATTTTAAAATTGTAAATAACACTTTAAAAGTAGAATCATGTTCCTAAACTTAATTCTAGATTTCGCTCTGCTTTACAATTACCCACACCTCAACTTTACTAATAGCATATCTCCTATATCAAATGATTTCCAATTCTCAAAAGTATGAAGATCGACTGATATAATTTTTCATCCTATGAATAACATAAAAAATATAGTTTCTCTAGCAAATATCCTTATCTTGTATATGTTAGTTAGTTTATTTGTTTTATTTATCAGTTATCCTCCTACTTATACTTATACTTAAGTTTTTTTGTCTGGATTTTATATAGGCCAGGAAAATGAGATGGGAAATGACCATTTCGTGACTTTTTGTTTCGGCGAGCTGAATACATCACTATAGATGCTAAATATTATGTACAATAACATATTAGTTTCCACAGTCACACAAATGGGGGGAAGATTGTATACAGGGTGGTTAATTGTATAAATTTTACATAAATTCACGTTATTCGCTTATAACTTTTTTCCGTTCATTTCCACGAGAAAACAGTAAAGTCCTTTTTGTTTTTTCGTCTTGAAAAGATCTACAAAGCTAGCCCTCGAGCGTCAAAAAATATTGATTAGATCAAAAGTTATAAACAGAAGTTTATTTATAACTTTTGAATTAAACATTTTTAAACTGTGTTATTATTTTCAGAACGTTTTGGCATCGCATCCTCTCATTCCTTATCACTGTCTAATAACTCACACGAAATTTGGAATCGGTAAGTTGACTAGTTTACAAGTTATGGCCTTATAAACAAATTAACTACTTTATTAGTCTGGACGATCACGAGGATCTTCTACAATCGCACTGATTTTTTTCATGGTAGATTTCATAATAATACATTGAAATCTGTAGGCTAAACAAGGTTGCAACTAAGGCTAAAAAATAAAAAAAATTGTAGTTTGCAAATTTGAAATTAAAAAAATTATAGATTTCAATGTATTATTATGAAATCTACCATGAAAAAAATCAGTGCGATTGTGGAAGATGCTCGGGTTCGTCCAGATTATTAATTAGTTAATTTGTTTATAAGCCCATAACTTGTAAAGTATTCAACTTACCGATTCCAGATTTCGTGTGAGTTTTTAGACAGTGATAAGGAATGTGAGGATGCGATGCCAAAACGTTCTGGTAATAATAACGCAGTTTATAAATGTTTAATTCAAAAGTCATAAATAAACATCTTCTGTTTATAACTTTTGATTTAATCAATATTTGACGCTCGAGAGCTAGTTTTGTAGGTCTTCTGAAGGTGAAAAAAAAGTACATTACTGTTTTCTCGTGGAAATGAATGGAAAAAAGTTATAAGAGAAAAACGTGAATTTACGTAAATATTATACACTTTGTAAACAATCTTCCCCCCATTTTTGTGACTGTGGAAACTAATATGTTATTGTACATAATATTTAGCATCTATATTTCCTGGCCTATACTTATATTTTGTTTGCTCTATTTTGTGTAGTACCTATTTATTTATATTTTTATATTTAATGTTAATTGTCTTTTTTTTTTTAAATTTAGTCAAGGTTTTCTGTTTTACCTCATCCTATAATTAGAACATTGTCACATTGGATATTGTAACTTCTGAATAAATAAATAAATAAATTAATTAATAACCAAACTTTTGTCGGTGGCTAGCCGATTAGAAATAAAAATTTACTGAATTGATATGCAAATCACGCCACTAGGCTAATTTCAGATTCTAGATACTAAGTGTATTTCATTCCTGCTTTTGTTTGTGTAAAAATAAAAAAGTCCTCTTCCACTTTGTTCGAATTTTCTGATTTTTTATGTTAAAGCGAACCAACAACACAACCATGTAAATCGAAAGTGACTCTAAAAGTATTCGTGTTCCACTAAACCTTCGTTAGAAATACGAATTGAAATACAATGTAATGTACCAAAAGAATTTGGACGCCTAATGTAAAAACGACACAAATTTTGTGATACAAAAATCAAGCCCATACGAATTTTTTCCACCACTAAAATTTGACCAGGCGTTTCAGATGCACCCTGTACATCGTCCACTCAGTAGCTTTCTTTCAGTTCTCAATTAAGCCATATTTCTCCAAAATATCCCCGGCCTGAGACGACGTCCGCACCTCCCAGGCGTAAACGTAGTTCTAATTCCGTCCCCACAACAAAATCAGTTCAAAATCTAGCGCGAAGATGCCTGGAAATGTTTCCAAACGCGGCGAACGTGACTGCGTCCGATAAACGGTTCCTTTAATTAATGCAAAAATTTCCCGGAAATTGCACAGCGGTCTTGCCCGTATCCTAAATCAGTATTTTGATGTATGCTGGTTGGAAGAGGACGGATTCTGGAGGTTATGAGTGTTTTCTAGAGTACGGTGAGTAGGATTTGAATTTGAAAGACTTAACATAATGCACGTCTCCACAAACAATTGCCCGAACAAGGCACGACCGATGACAGTTTAAAAAAAAGACGGTTTCAGCGACTTCTGCGATCCCACAATGAATAAAACAACTGGCTACGTGCGGAGTGTACTTTTTGTTCCAAAGAAAACAATGTAGAGGTTAAAATATATTACGCCCATAAATATTTTATATTATTTTTCTTTCTTCGCACGCCCACGGATAATTATAATTGCTTAGATCTCGTGAACTGTTGCGGTTTCGTCAAGGATAGTTTTTATTTTGCGTCCCAGAGTTAAATACCGAAATACCGGGTGTTGAAATAATAAGAGGAATTATCCAGGTATGTGTATGTTGAAATTAAAATCTCCGCAAGCCATAACTCCGTTTTATTTAGTCTGATTTTAAAAAACGAAAAATTAAATGAAATGGCTCTAAATACACTATAAAGCGAGCCTATTAGATCTCGTTTACTATTTTATTTTCTGAAATGCGATAGTCAGCTTTTTTTTTCAAATGGCAATATAGTTTCTTTGCTAATTATTATTGTGCATATTTATTTTCTGAATCCAACGATGTATATGAACTTTACTTTTGTAAAGCATTTATTACAGAAAAGACGACAATATATTAGTTGATACCGCATTCGGCGCCCGGCCACTGATTCATGATAAATGTATTTTAACTAATCACCTGTGCCATGGAAAACAAAAAATAATACAGCAAGGCAAATAAAACTCAAAAGAGAAAATTGTAGTTAACAAAAAAGAAACAATACAATGAATATTAAAAGAAAAACAATTTAATTAAATACATTAACCATTATAGAAATAAATTCAACACGAAATAACATTAATTAAACAC